ATAGTGAAGAAAATAGACAGATACGACTCTTATAGAGAAACACGAAAATGAAAATCATTTAATCTACCTATCATATGATTTTCAAATTTGGCTGATATTAAGCAGAGATGATCTTTGAGGCAAAAATTAAAAGATAAATAGTTGGGATTATTGAAATATATTTCAGAGTAGATTCTATAAAAATTTGTTAAAATATGTTCCTCAATCCCGACTATTTTTTCAATTTCAACAATACAAGTGGTCAATAGTCACATTAGTTGTCAATTTCTACAATACAAGTGGCAAAAATTAAAAGATAAATAGTTAGGATTATTGAACTATCACAGTAGTTGTTAATAAGTAGGTACAACTTCTCCCTAGCTAATTTCATTCTCCATATTTTTCTTTGTAACTTGTATTGATCTTTCAATTTTGGCTCTGAAACCAAGTGAATCTACACACAAACTAGCAAAGCCGCCGGTCTACAGAAAAAAGGTATCATCTGCCGTATAGTGGAAGCAATTAATACTATGAAAGCATGGGGATAAGAAGAGTGAGGAGGGGGAGACCTACCAAAAAGAAAATATTATTGTAATAATAGGAAAAGATGTAAAGGAAAACGACACTTCTTACGCGAAAAAGTCAAAACACATAAAATGAAGTTATTTAAGTTGCCAAATATTATAGCGGCGTATCAAATATCATCAATTGTGATGATTTTTCATCAACGATGATGTTCAAAAGAGCTAGCTAATTAGGTTGCATTTATTGTATGAAAAAGACAACATCGCCCTCAGTTGAAAGTAATTTTAGACGCAGTTTATTTTTTGGAAGAACCTTATGCTTATATATACAATGTGATGAACTCGATTACTATAGTGATACAAGAAATTCAACTTCGGTTGAACTTGGATCACAAAATTTCTTGTGTTTTTGTGCGTTAATGCGATTTACAATTTAATCCCATAAGGACTCCCTCCTCTTCCTCCTCCAAGACCATCATTGAAGCTGTCGGTCACAGCTTTTTAAAAAGCGATCTTCTGACGCGTTGCAAAAGCTTCAGCAACCTCATATTAGGTTGCGTCCATAATAGGTGGGGCAGATATTTATTACCTATATTAATGGTAAACTTCACAACGAGCTGACCATAATAATTTTGTTCAAATTCATATTTGACGAGAATCAAATATAAGATCTATTCCATATTACTAAGTGGCAAAATACATGCTTATGTTTTATTGAAGAAAAGTTAAGGGAAGGGGAGGCTACCACATTCCACGGGCAGGACATACAACAAGCCTATTTAAGAACATACAGAGGGAGTCTTAATCACTTTATTTTTGTTTTTTCAGATTACCCACAAATAAAAATTGTTGACAGCAAGACTCAAATTTATGCTTTGGTTCAACAAAAAGAACGACCCTTATGAACTCTCATCAATGGTATTAACTAAGCGAGAACCAAAAATATTTTTTTGTAAACAAAGGTGTGAGGTCTAATGTGCTACCTACTTGGGTGAGTAGACAAAATTTACCATGGAGCAAAGTTTTGTTTAAATAGCTAATTAAGCAACATACTAAGAGGTTTTTTATGATACTTCGGAATATAGAATATTCTAATAAAATTAATTGTTAGATCTATGTTCAAAAATACAAAATCAGAATTTAACAATTAAAACTCAGAGAATATAAGATACTCTAGAGGACCGTATAATTTTGATATATGAATATGAAATGTAGAAAAGGTTAAAACCATGAGTTTGGGGAGTTTCCAAATTTTGTACCTCTTCCAGTATAAAGCCAAACAAGTTTGAGTTTCCCTATCTTCAACTGCAGTTTCTTGGCCTACCACCTTTGCTCGGCGTGCACCACTTGGTACTGGTGCATGGTCCTGAGTCCTGACTCATCCAGTAAGTATTTGGATTCCATCCGATTTCTTTTTGGGAAAATTCCTATAACTTTTATATTTTATTCATTAATTATACATCGTACGGTTAAAAATTATTTTAAATTTTTTATTTAAAGTTAAATACTAATAATTTCTAACCGTACAATGTACGATGCATGAATAAAATGTAAAAGTCCTTAAAATCTTCACAAAAAGAATCCGAAAATGATGCTCATCCATCCCATGATACCTTCATTAACTACCAAGCGAGGGTGCCATCACAGAAAGTGACCTAATAAATATTATCAGCCTCAAATAATATTCAAATATCTGTATACCTACTCTTGGAGATGTAGTTTAAAAACATTTTCAAAATTTTAATTACTTTTTAATATTAATTTCCACACACGATAACGATGTGGCAATTACATGAACGATACTTGTGTATGCCACGTCATAGTCATATGATTTAATGAACTTTTTGACAGAATTAACAAAAATGAGAACATGCGAACACGAAAACACCACTTCTAAAGTATTAAATGCCGAAGTTTGAGTTTTAAATAAAAAATAAGATTAAAATCGAATGTTAGCGAATATTGCAAAACATAAAGCCTTTTTTTCATAGCACTGAAAAATTCGAACTATTTAGGGAGCTAGCAATTCAGTAAAACTTATGGAAGTTAGCAATTCTGAACCGTTTATCACATTTTTTATACCATATTTATAGTATCTTTTCAATAGAGATAAAATCTATAAATACATGTGAATCTTATTTGTATGAAAAAGATAATACAAATATGTGATAAAAAACGTGATAAGAGTTACATTTTTTGAAAGATAATTACTTTTAGGTGGCAGTGGCGCAATTGTCTACAGATTAACAATTTAAAGGGAATTGTTATTGGTAATCCAAAAATCTTATTTGGTACTCCAAACTTTTTATAATTAGAAATAAAAATACACTTATACGGAGTGTAAATTGAGATTTTTGAAGTATGAAGAACAGTTCCCAATTTAAATTGCAATGTTTACATTGTCAGCTTTCAGTGTAGCTGAGTTATTGATGGGGTCCTGTCATTATCCAGTCTTCGAATTGGTAATGTGGTTTTTTAACCAAAACCAAAAGTTACTCTGACCAATGTCAAATAGACAATTTATAGCATTTGAAGTCATCTTTTATGTTTGAGTTTATATCACAAATCATTCTTGAAATTGATCCATACTATTACAATAGTTTCTGAAATTGAAAATCGATCAATATAATCCTTGAAAATAGGTGTCACAAATCAATGTAGTCCTTCCATCACAATTTTGTCAAAAATTATGTTATGTGTTGATGTAAGAGTTTTTATCACAAATGATCCCTGAAATTAACCCACATGAACAAGATGGTCCCTGAAATTGAAAATCGATCAACGTTGTCCCTGAAAATAGGTGTTGCAAACCAATGTAGTCATTTCATCAAAACTCTATCAAAAATTATGTTAAGTGCTGATGTGGATTTAATAATTAATTAAAAAAGTCGTCGAAACACCTTTTTGCACAACGAGATGATCTCAAGCTAGAGTTTTCCATTCTCCGTGTCACCAAGATCATCAGAAGAATGCCCAACAAGCTCTCCAAGATTATAAGTTGTGAGGCTATCAATCGCCCAAATGTTGACGGTGGAGTCATAAAAGTCGTCACCAATCCAAGCCGTCACCAAAGGTGGTCTCAATCCAGGTCAAATTCGATGAAGGGCATCGAAGAATGTAAAGATGAGTTTCTTGAGAATATTTTTTCAGAGAAGAGACGATGTAGGCTACCATAGATGGAGGTAAAGGAGTATGGTTTTGGATCAAAGGTGATTGGGGACCGAGTTTCTAAGTTGACAACTTTTTTAATTAATTATTAAATTATCAAGGCTATTTCTTATTTATTTTTTATTTACTTAGACTTGTGGGTTCATTTATGTGCCACAACAGTACATAACAAAAATTTTGACAAAATTACAAAGGAATGATTGCTTTTATTTGAGACATTTATTTTAGGACTACATTGATTGCTTTTCAATTTATGGAACCATCTTGATGGTGTGGATCAATTTCAAAGACCATTTGTGATATTTAAAAATAAAAAAGGACTTATGGGATCCATTTATGTGCCATATCAGCATATAACAAAATTTTTGATAGCATTGACATAAGGACTACATTAATTTGTGACACCTATTTTCAGGGACTACATTAGTTGATTTTCAATTTCAAGGACTATCTTGATAGTGTGAGTCAATTTCAAGGATCATTGGTGATACAAACCCTTTATATTTATCAAATGGAGATCGAAAACCGGTTTTACATCATACAAGAGTTTTATTTATTTTTTTTAAACAAACGATATTATCTACGCTAAGGAAGAGGGGGTAGGCTAAGCCTCATAATAGGCTAGCAATAATGTGATTCAAATTCACCTTTGGCGAGAATTGAACCTAAGACCTCACTTACAATTGAAGAGGAATACTACTAGACTGTAGTACTAAGTGGCACATCGTACAAGAGTTTGGCACGCATGGGAGAAAATTTCATAGACACACTACACATCTTATTTAATCCTGTCAACTATTTTCGTTTTATTAATTCAATTTAAAGACCTTAAACGAAAAAGAATACATGAACAAGGGTAGAATTTTCTTCCCTCTAAATTTCCCTCCTCTCTAGGCCCTTCATATTGAACAATCACGATTAAAACACGTTGACATCTTGTGTTGACATTTTTTAAAGAGAGAAAGACATAGGAAAGTGAGGGAGGAGGAGAGGGGTGGGAAGAGAATCTTGCTCCGTGTCAAAAAGGAAATTTGGACCCCATATAGAATTATAGCCACTACTTTATATTTATGACAATTATAACCAAAACTTGATGTGAAAATACTAATATACCCTTAAATGAGGCTTTACAGGGAAAAAAAAAAGAGCAAAATTCGGTGAGAACAATGTCGCTTTGATTCACAGTGACTTTCCTTACTAGGAAGGTGGGAAGGATTGTCTTACTCAGATGCCAAAATTCTGATTGATGATTAATTGGCTGTATTTAACATGCCCTAATCCAAATCATGATTGAAGCAAAGCACATGTCCGTTAATGGTAAGCACAAGTTACACAACCAATAAAGAATGCTTGGAATGTATCAATATGTTTCAGTTGCTACACTACAGAATCAAGGATCTCCATCTTCACAAACTCAATTTGCACACTCGAAAAATAAGGAGAAACAAGAAAAACGAAAATCTGTTTCGTTCGAAACACTCACAAGCTCAGAAAAAAGCTAAACTATTCATTACTCAGATGCCAAGGTTTTCCCATTTTCGAGGTGATTTTTTGAATTTTTTTTTATCACTTTATTGTTGTAAGAATTCGGAATTCTGTGAGTTGAAGCGGTATGTCTGGTTGCGGCTGAGAGGAAGAGGAACGCTCCGGTGGAGATTGGCATTAATGGTGGAAATGGCGGTAAGGATGTCTATTTATTAAGCTCTGCTGCTCTGATATCCAAGATCAAAATCACACAACGTCAAATGGATATAGTGCAGAAAGGAACACAATTTCACTTCTTTATGGGCGTTTCAGCGAAAACATAGAAATAAATAATCAGGATCGAAAGAACCTAACTATCATACGGACAATCGAATTAGGATCCAATTCGAGATGGAAAGAGGACGACTTTGTTTCTTTTCAGGAAGAAATAACATACCAGACAATATTTCTTGATATTTCTTCTGTTCTCTGGCCCCTCTCTATTTGTTCCCATCCAAATGGACTTAAACCAACCAATCAATCCAATGAATGAATTGAAGATATGAAGCTGTAAGACCAAACAATTCTGTGTATCAGCTTTTTAAGCTCTAATCGACAATTAGAAGATCGTCACACTTGGTGAGTACTATGCAATCATAAATTTTCGGTAAGTAAGAACTCACGAGCAACCATTCAATTTTTCGGGAACAAAAGCAATAAACCGCATAAAAAGATGGGTTTAAGGTGTGCGACTCATGTACATAATGGTATATTCCTAAGAAAATCTAAACCCCTATCATAGATAGAAATAAGAATGAAAAGAAAACAAATCAGTGTGGAATCAAGTAGAGTAGAATTTCAGTAATACTTAGGGCCACTTCGATAACTATTTCGTGCTTAGGTTTTGGTTTTCACTTTTTGTGCTTGAGATACGGAAAAGTACGTGGAAAAACGGAGATGAAGAAGGGTGATGGAGAGAGGGGAAGAAATAAGGAAGAATGAATGAAAACAAAATCTTGAAAGAGAAACCAACTTAAAATATATTTTAGTTTTTAGTTTTCATGTTGTGTTCCTTTCCCTGAACATTTCTTCTACATCTCTCCCACCTTCCTTCATCTGTTCTTCTGTCATCCTTCATTTCCCCTACATATTTCCTCACTATCACGAAAACAAGAATTTAAAACCAACAAAAGAATGAAATGGTAATTGAACGGAAACGGCATTGGAATTGAAAGCAGTGCAGGGTGCAGGGACACACACACACACATTTATGAACTGAAAGCAAACAATGAAACCAACCTGCGAGTAATGCAGGTGCTTAAATAACAGCAGTGACGGAGGGAACCGTGCATACATGAACTTGTGCTTACAACAAATTTTCTGCCATCATTTTCCCTCAAATTGAAAGCCAAGTTCCTGAAGACTTAATTTCCCTCGAAAGATATCCAAAAGTTGAGGCACGCTTTCTTGATAGCGAGTCACAAACTTACTTATAAAGCAACTATCAATGGTAATCAACAATGATGATATGGAATACTTTTTCTTCAGCAAGCCCTTCACCAACAGGACTCTAATGACAGAACACCTTGGAATGATCCTCCGCTCCAGACTAAGTGATAGAAAGTCTGGATATCTGGCGAGATATGCAGGCTGCCAACCCATCTTGTTTACAAGAAAATCCATTTTACTTCTTATATTCTTCTCTGACAGATACATACAAGTTGGTTTTTTTCTAAAAGCCAACAGGATCTCCTCTTCAGTCCAGCCACAGCTCTTGTAAACCTCCAATTTGTGCACCCATGTCGATTTGGTGATTGTCGCAATCACTTGGAGTCCATTGACAAATGTTAACGTCTTAGGCGTGAATCCCATACCAACGACCTTCTCCACATCTTTGTTAAAGTCATCAGGTTTTTGACACACGACTCCGGGGTGACAGCTCAGTAATACAGAGATAGAGGGTTGCGGCACTTCAAGTGCTCTCAGAACTGAGAGATTTTGAGCAATATTACTTTGCACCCTATCACTCAAAACTCCCCACGAGCGTGTTATAAGGTTCACAACTTTTTCATCACTGAGGAGTTCTTTTTTGAAGAGATTAAAACCAGGAACTAGAGCATTCTTCAAGCTGGCAGTCAAGAAAATAGGATTCCTACAGATGGCAAGAGCAATGCTCGTGCCTGAAAGGCCTAGAGAACGCAAAAACTCAAGTTTCGGCGAAAGGATCTTCTCAGGGTCGGCTAAAAGCAGCCTTGGGACTTTACTAACAAGTTTGGAGATTTCGGAATCAGCGAATCCATGGTCTCTGAGAAGACCAAGGACAGAATCTGGTCTCTCTGTGGTTTCGAAGCTTACTTTCTTAGACAATGTAAGAGCCTTTTCTGCGGAAAATCCACATGAATTCACGAGATACGACACTGTAATAGAGCCTTCACATTCTTGTGCTTCATCTAATCCAGATTCTAACAACGGTTCTGATGATAATGATCTGCTAAAATGTGGTGGACTGAAAAGAAAAACAAACAACAACACCAAAAGGGTAATTCAGAATTCACACATTTCTGCAATTTAAGAGGACGAATTCTAGGGTTTTACATTAGAAACCAAGCAATCAATTATTCAATCAAACAATCATAACCGCAGGAAGCAATGAAAAGCAAAAGCTGCGGTGGGAATTGAAACTTACTGGAGAGAAGCAGCATAGCGACGCAACTGCCAAGCTCTTACAAAATTTGAAGCTTCTGAAGCTGCAGCTGCAATTTTATTCATTCTTCAGTACTTCCCAACGACAGTCTCCTCACCGTTACTCCTGCTACTACATCTTCATTAGGGTATTTGCGCAGGTCATCGCAGTCGCTACACCCGGTACAAAACGCACCGTTTCGTCTTCTTTTGGTTCTTTTAAGGAGACTGAGGAGGAATTCGCCTGGTTGTAATTATCATCAGCTGTCGTTATGTTACCCCGTTGTGTGGTAGTTTTACAATCAATGTCATTGTTATTATAAAATGATGACAAACAAATGTCAAATAAATTATCATTCATGCTAATTCTCCTTTTAGCCACTTATTATTACGATCAAGCAGTATTCTTCTTCAATTGTAAGTGAGAGGTTTTAGGTTCGATTTTTGCCAATGGTGAATTTAAACCACATTATTGCTAATCTACTCCCCTCCCCCTAAGTGTAAATAATATTGTTTCTTCAAAACAAAAAAAAAATTGAAAATTTTTAAATATACTATCAGCTCATGTACTTTCTCAATGTCGGATTTGGCTACGGTACAAGCATTAACTTAATGCATTCACCATATGATAATGAACTATTAATTTACTTGATACATTAGGATGACTAAATGGTCTCCGTTTCAAATTTGTAAGGATGATCTTGAAATAGAGATTAAGAAATAAAACAGTTCAACTATGAAATTTTTACACTGAAGATACGTTATTTGCAAGTAGAAGAATGAGCTCGTCGTCTAAGGTATGAAATGATTATTAAAAAATAATGCTAATTCTTACATGTTTCTTAAGAAATTCAACAATTCAATTAATTCTTACATGCTTATTCCTACATGTTTCTTGCACCCCCCACCTTCTCTTTGTTGTCTACCCTCGTTGGCAGTGTTGCTCATGGACTGCCATGAGCTTCTTTCACTTGGTTGCAGGTTCTCAGGTATATGTAGCTGGGCTTGGAGTGAAGCTTGGAATTGGCTGCTGGTATCGGTGAGGTGAGGCTTTGTTTAGGGAGTGAATTTGGTTGGATCGACATGCACGGCTGTTGTTTTGGTGGTTGCAACGGCGGTTATGGCGGAAGACGCAGCAACTAGGGTTGTTTCTTTGTTTTGGTCTCAACTTTTGGTTGGGCCTCTGTTGTTTGTTTGTGTTTTTTGTTGTTGGGCCTCTGTGTTGTAAATTTTGGGTCTCTGTGTTGTAATGTTTGTTGTTGGTAATGCATATTACCTTTGCTCCAATAAAAAAAAGAAGCAAACTAAATTTACCCAAAAGATGGCAAAGTAAAGCAGAAGTGGAATTTTTTACCTTATTACTATACTAATCATATTATCAACCATATCCAAGGTTCTAAAAGACATTAAACGCTAGTCAGACAATAGACTAAAGCCTAGCACCTAACCGTGTAAAAATTTTGAATTCTATGTTGGTTTTGTAACAATTTAAAAGCCCACAAAGTTTAACATACAATTATAACAAATTTTGAATTAAAAAAAAAAATTTAAAATAGAAAGTTGGCCCTTATACGCTAGCTTTAAAAAAAATGGAGTTTTAACAAAACATTTTTGGTACTATTCACTTTTAACGAAAGATCATATTTTTACCTTTTCTTGGTACTATTCACTACACCTTTATTTGTCATTTTTCATTAAAACTAAAGTATTTTTTAGACTTTTCGTTAGTTTTCCTCAATAAAAAATGGTGTCACCATCTTAAACAAAAAAACCTGAAGGAGACAGTGAAAACGAGACATAGCAGGTAGGCCAGGCACGCGAGATGCAAAGAAGTTTCTTTCTCTATGAGTCACGATTGTCGCGACAAGTTTTTTCCCATGCCTTCAAGGCCACCTAGCCCGCCCAAACGGGTGCCTAATGCCGCCCAATAGTCTTTTGGATTTAGTAAGCGATTTTAGGCTAATCCGGGTGGACCATCGCCGCCTAGACCGTTTTTAGAACATTTACTGTACCTTACCAATTTTGTGCCAACTTTTTGTATCAACCGGCAATGGTCCTATACTTGTACTGTACCAAATATAATTTGTATAGTAATGGTATCCAAAACCAATAGCATACAGTACCAAAATGATTATATATTTGTAAAATAAAACTATTTTTAAGCCTTTAGATTACATGACATCCTTATTTATTAAATGGCATTAATGCTCATGTGGATTTTTACTAATATTAAAGATAAAATAAAACTAAAAAAAAAAAACCATAAAATCTAAAAGGAAATTAAATATATAATTGTGAACACGAAAAAATTCCTGAAAACAAGAAACAATAATACGTGTACAAAATAATATTTTTATGTTTAATGATTTTGGGGTTACGATCTCTCAAATTTGGTCCTCTGATTCGATCTCCGTAAGATGTAGATTTGTTGATCCAAGGGCCGTCGAGGCTTGATCTTGGATGAACAGTTGTAAGTTTCTTCAAGGGCCTTCGTGGCTTTGATCTTGAAGGTTGATGGAAGTTTCTTCAAGGGCCTTCAGGGCTTGATCTTGAATGTTGATGGATGAGCGGATCTTCAAGGGCTTTTGGGCTTGATCTTGAAGAACGGTTGGTTTTCTTCAAGGGCCGTCGATGCTTGATCTTGAATGAACAGTTGGCTTTCTTCAAGTGCTTTTGGGCTTGATCTTGAAGAATAGATGTGTGGATTTGTTTGTTGATCCAAGGGGCCGTCGGGGCTTGATCTAAGGATGAGCAGTTGATGAATGGATCTTCAAGGGGCGTTGGGGCTTGATCTTGAATAATGGTTGTGTGGATTTCTTCAAGGGCTTTTGGGCTTGATCTTGAAGGTTGATGGATGAGCGGATCTTCAAGGGCTTTTGGGCTTAATTTTGAAGAACGATTGGATGTGTGGATTTGTTTATGCTGTTGATCCAAAGGGCCATTGGGGCTTGATCTTAGGATGAACGATGAACACTTTCTTCAAGGGCCGTCGAGGCTTGATCTTGAGTTGGTAGAAGTTCTTCAAGGGCCGTCGGGGTTTGATCTTGAAGGAGGATTTGACGAAGAACGAAGAGTGCTTTCTTGATCCTTCGGGATTTTCTTGAGAGCTTTAGAACTTTAAGGCTTCAAGGTTTTGGTGTGTGGGTTTGTTGAGGATGTTGATCCAAAGGGCCGTTGGGGCTTGATCTTAGGATGAACGGATGATGAATGATGAACACTTTCTTCAAGGGCCGTCGGGGCTTGATCTTGAATAATGGTTGTGTGGATTTCTTCAAGGGCTTTTGGGCTTGATCTTGAAGGTTGATGGATGAGCGGATCTTCAAGGGCTTTTGGGCTTAATTTTGAAGAACGATTGGATGTGTGGATTTGTTTATGCTGTTGATCCAAAGGGCCATTGGGGCTTGATCTTAGGATGAACGATGAACACTTTCTTCAAGGGCCGTCGGGGCTTGATCTTGAAGGAGGATTTGACGAAGAACGAATAATGCTTTCTCCATTCTTCGGGATTCTTGGGAATTTGGGGGTTGGATGCTTGAGAGCTTTAGAGTTTCAAAGCTTCAAGGATTTTGGATGTGTGGGGAGTATTCACTTCCATTTTGGGAGTAGAGAAATGTATTTGTGAATTGGTGTTTGTGTGTCTATTCCTCTTGATGGAGAAGCCTATTTATAGGCTTTGAGAGTGAATCACCACCATTCATTTTTTTGGTGAAGTGAGTGGAGGTTGTAGGTGAAGTGAGTGGAGGTTGTAGGTGAAGTAAGTGGATGATGTAGATGAAATGAGTGGAGGTTGTAGGTAAGGTAAATGGATGATGTAGGTGAAATGAGTGGAGGTTGTTGGTGAAGTGAGGGAATGATATAGGTGAAATAAGTGTTGTATTGGTTAACATTTATTTCACTGAAATTTCGATGTCTACAAATGCCCCCACTTCAAGGCGCGTCGTAGACATGTGCTTGTCACGTGTAGAGGATGCGTTTTGAAGTCCCTTAATGTAGATGTCAACCCAAGGGCCGTCGAGGCTTGATCTTTAATTGGGCTGGAAATTTCTTCAAGGATCATCGAGGCTTGATCTTGAGTTCGACTGGAAGATTTTCTGGTTTCCTCCAATCGTTGATTTTCCACAGGCTTAATCTTGAACTGGGCTGGAGGATTCTTTTGGTCTCCCCCGAAGGTCTGAACTTACTCCTTTTATTTGGAGTTGAATTTGATTCAAGGGTGGTGAACACTTGATTTTGAATCGAACTTGTTGATTTCTTCAAAGGCCATCGAGGCTTGATCTTGAGTTCGACTGGAAGATTTTCTGGTTTCCTCCAATCGTTGATTTTCCACAGGCTTAATCTTGAACTGGGCTGGAGGATTCTTTTGGTCTCCCCCGAAGGTCTGAACTTAACTCCTTTTATCTAGAGTTGAATTTGATTCAAGGGTGGTGAACACTTGATTTTGAATCGGACTTGTGATTTCTTCAAGGGCCATCGAGGCTTGATCTTGAGTTCGACTGGAAGATTTTCTGGTTTCCTCCAATCGTTGATTTTCCACAGGCTTAATCTTGAACTGGGCTGGAGGATTCTTTTGGTCTCCCCCGAAGGTCTGAACTTACTCCTTTTATCTGGAGTTGAATTTGATTCAAGGGTGGTGAACACTTGATTTTGAATCGGACTTGTGATTTCTTCAAGGGCCATCGAGGCTTGATCTTGAGTGAAAATAGGACCATGAGCGGTTTCAGGATTCAGACACATGGCAGGCAAGCACGAGGTGGAGGTGATGACCTATTTCTTTGTTCAATCTTTCCAATTCATATTTGAAGAGGGTTAGAGGATGACTCAGCATATGCAGTTGTTGCGTTTGCTGACGATCCATAAGATTGATGTTTCATTGTCACTCGTCTTAGCTGTTCTCCAAGCAGATGTGGTCCTTTCTCTGGAAGTGTATCAACCGTTGAAGATGACTACTCGAGAGCAACGCTAGGTAAGCAACCAGGGAATAGATTCCAGGTAGTCGGTTCCAGATCGGAAGACTGACTCCAAGTGCCGGCTGATTGCTCTCTTTCTCTTTGCCATGCGAGTAAGAACAAGAACAAAGGAAAAGACAGAGAAAGAGCATGATATGAGATACCTTTGCTTTCGCCCTTGATGATATGAGATACTTTTGCTTTTGAAGAAGCAGCGAATGAATCAGCACATATATTTGTTGCGCTCATCTCCACATGCTTCGATCTACCGTTTCCTCCTGCTTCATCTGTACTCCAGGCATCTGGTATCTTCTTTGGGGGTA